CTCGGAGGGAGCCGCTCCTTGAGAAGAACTCCTTCGAGTCGATCAGGGTTTCCACCTTTGACTATCTCGGTATGAGGCTGTTCGCGGAGCTCTCCCGACCGGTCGGACTCTCCGACGTAGTCTCCGCAAACGTAGCAGGCGTCCCCGATTCCACGGGATGGGCACTGAAGTCGACCTCTCGGCGTGTCGGCCACGTAGCAGTTCCGGCTTCCTCTGGGATTCCTCAAGGGCCGGTCCTGATATTCGATCCAGAAGCAGCTTTTCCGCGAGCTTCGCGTTCGGCTTCCATCGGACTCTAAGTAGCTTGGCTAAATTCTCTACCGATAAGCAACAATATCTGGCAATGAATATCGCAGGTCTCTTCAGTCCTTTCAATAGCTCGCCTGTGCATGCTCCTCGTCGCGGGCTCCGACTCAAGAGCACGCGCTTCGGAATGTTCGGGTTTTCGGTTGCTTCAATGCGGGTCACGAAGGGGTTCCGAATTCCCTCGCACCCAGCTGTTTGGACGAGAGGGAATTGCCCCACATCAAAATTGGCTTTTAAGGCTGTGCATTGACTTCATTCCACATTGTTCTTGGAGGGGGAGTTTAAGCGATTCAGGAAACTTGCTCGCATAAGAAACCTCCCTAGCATATTAGGATGAGCACACTTGATTCATGGCCGAAAGGCTTTGCTGGTAATGGCTCATCGCTCTGATCTCCTTTGAGTGAAGCTCGTCGAAGCTCCGTCCACAATCACGGCTCAGCCTCTTCTCTTCCGGCTCCTCGAACTCACATAGGTCGATTGAGTTATTGCCTATCGAGTGGTGCTGATCGTTCTCCATAACATATGCGCTAATTTCTTTCTGATCTCCTTGCTGCCAACCGGCGAGAACCGTCAGAAACGTGACGCCTTCCGAGAAGTTTGGTTCCGAAGTCCGGTCAGCTGGGGCTTGTAGCCTGGCGATTACACTCCGGCTACGCTCGGGCAAATGAAAGACAAGGAATTCATTCTTCTAGTGGATGTCAGATTCGAAGCAGCGACCTCGTTTTCGACATCTCGCTGTCACGAGGAGATGGATGAGAGTTTGCCTGCCCTCTCGATTCGGAGAAGATCGGACTTCATGGGACACCAGATTTCTTTTCCAAGCATAAGCTTGATTCGCACGTGGACTGTTTGGCACACCTTCTCCATCAGATTCTGGACACCGAATCATTCTCGCAAGCTCACTTCCCTCCTTGGAACCGATTTTCAGCTCGCTAGTGTAGCTTAATACGTACACTTCAAAATACAGTGACAGCAGTCGGTCCAGACTCTTTCGTGGATAAATCAGACAAAGTTATGCCCGTATCCGACTCAATAATTATCAGAAGTTTCCAGGTCACCGAATTCGCAGACGATATCTGCTGATCGAGATCCGCAGAGAGAAGTCTTGCCTTGGGTCAATCTGGAATTCGACATCTGGGCTGTGCTCGCTGGTGAAGGACTCCCCGGAGTTCCTCAAGAAAGGCATCGACAAAGAGGTCGAGCGCGATACCTCGAGGAAAGATGATGCTTCCGTGCTGTAGCTAACTAATCCCAGGGAGCATCTCAGGGAGGGGTCACAGGGAACATCTCAGGGAGGGGTCCCAGGAAAAAGGTTCGAGCCCGCAAACCAGAAGAATATACCAGACCTCGATTCGATTCGCGAGAAAAATCTCAGCTTTCGGTGAAGCTGTGACAAAATCGTCTACGAATCCGGATCGTATGCTGCTGCGATTGAGAAGGGCACACGAGCCAGATGAGACTGGCAGCGAAGCAACAGTATTCGACGATTGTCGAAGTATGACGCCTCCTTGCGGGATCACGACATGCGGATCCGGCACATGCTGACGAGTAGCATGCAGCGATAGTAGAGGATTACCAGCTTCAAGCTGCACGACCGCGATAGCCCAAGTCACGTTGGTATCCGATGCCTTCGACAACCAGGTTCCGCTGATACTCTGGCGGGCTCGACATCCTTGGCGCTCGAGGTGAAAATATGCATGTACGTTCCGGGTCTCACCGTGTTAGGCTGGACATTCGAGAAAAAAATGAATCCCCACCGCCCGGGGCTGTTTCTCTGTGTCCTCAGACCGGATGAATGTGAATGTAATTCTTTCCGAAGACAAAACCTTTGTTATCTCCTGTTCTCGGGAGCTTCTCACTGCACACTCGCTCTCCCCTCCAGTCGGCCGCGCCGCCGGAATCGAGCCTCGCAGTTTCTCTCGGCCTGGATCGGAAGCGCGCTCTGAGAAAGAGCGAATCGATCTGATTTGAGCCAGACGGCCCGCTTCCTCAGGCAGCACGCCTAAATCCTGAGTGATTCTGATCGTACGCGAGAATTCATTGATTCCCAATGGGGGCCAAGGCTTGTCTTATGTTAACGGTGCCCGTCAAGGGTGCCATAGACTCGGTCGCGAGCTTTCCCTCGTGCGGAATAGCAGAGTGACACCCGCCGCGGTATAGGACACAATGGCGTGACTTGTATATCCACCATGTAGTGGATCGAGGCGCTCAGTTCATATCGGGGAATCAGAATGCCGCCTAGCTAGCAGGCCTGCCGACAAGCTTAGCGATCGGATAAATTCGACGAAATTGACGTGATCTGGGCGGAGTAGTATGACCTCATGAGGTATGTAGGTCGACTCCTACAAAACAGATCCGTTTTCATGGCCGCATTGCATTCAGAGTCTCCGTGTCGGAGAAGCACCCATGACTAATATCATTATTAGGTCTGAAGAGCTTCGACTCTAGATGTTGCGAGTGCGACGGTATATATCCGTTCTCTCCAGCTCTCAATCGTCTGCAACTGAACGCTCTCCTCTTCGACGTCGCAGGGTAGGCTGACCGGACAAAGGAGGCGCCCCACGACTGGGAACAAGGTCATCCGGCAGCAAGCGGAATTTTTGTACTTAAACCCGATCCGTCTCTTGCTACTGCGGCAGCTGCCTCGGCAGCGAATCCATCAATGTTGAGTGATGTCGCAGCTCGGCTTCAAAATAAGAGATCTAAAAATTCCTGGCGTTCTCTCGACAAGCTCGACAGCGAACAGCACAACTGTATTCCTGGCAGGATGCTGTCGCTCGGATTGTCCAGCCAACAAAGAGCCTAATAGTGACCGCAAGGAATGGATCGAGGTTAACAGGCCGGAAGGTCACGGAGAGCCAAAAGCGGGTATTGTCGCATACATAACAACTGTGAGTTGGAAAATGTTCTGATTCACGCACTCGCCTGCTCTCGATAGCTCGCATCTCAGTCAACGAGAATAATAATCGATCTCCGGGCGAACCCTCCCGCCTATCTGCGGAGGTCTACGCAGTCGGTCGGTCGCTCCGTCCGTCTGCCCACAGTGTCCCCGGAAACGTGCCGGAAACATGGGGATTTTTTCTTCGTTAGCTCGAGTGTCCTGAAATTGATCAGAGAGGCTGCTCCCTATAGTTATTCCAAGCGCTGCGTCGAGATCCGCAGTCTCTGAGCTGGCAAGAGCTCTTGCCGGAGCTCTACTCTTTCTATCCTACTCGTCGGAACAGCTGCTCCTAGGGGCTTCATTCTAGTCGGGTCGGGGAAGAACGTGTTCTAGATTTGCATTTCAAATCACTAGTCGGTGTGGTGAGGAGACATTACCAATAAAAAAAACATTGCGTCCGGCGAGGATGACGGGCAGTCAAACAAGCAGTCGGACAGGCCTTCTTCGACGGAGGGACGCGCGATCCGGAAACCGAGAAGCCGAGCTGGCGGATGTAAGCGAGGGTCGGGCCTGCGTGCTTCGTCGACCGAAATTCCGCTTTTGAGCCCTCCGTTTTTGTAAGGCAGTTAATATAACGTCCGCTTCAGACTCAAGAATGATCACAAGATTAAAGGCTGGATCCTCGGCAAACTAGCTGGCTGGCTCCCACCGGCGGGAGGCGCGACGGCGCACGGTGTCACTCTTCCCCCCAACAGCAGGCTCGGGCTTATTGAAAAACACCGTCCCGCTCTCTATGTAGAAGACCTCTTCTCAGCAGCTTAAAACATCGTCGACGCTCCACCTCGTCCAGCGTCGGCCTCTCGCGCGGGTTATCGCGTCCGTCCGATGTCTCCGGCACTTTCCCGGAGCACGGTCGCGCCTAGCTTTAGACTTCGAGAATGCACTTCTCTCACTGAGAGCCTCATAGCGCCTCCTCTCTATTCCCCTCTTTGTCTCGTGAAGAGGAAAAAAACAAGCAACGCCCGTATTCGCCTTCGGAGTGTCGATTGCCCCTGGAATAGGAGTTCTCCCTCATTAAATATTTTCCGCTTTTCTCCCTTGCAGGAAAAACGTCGGCAGGGAAAGTTGCGACGAAAACGAGCAGGAACAGGAATGGACTCGTCAGGGAACATCGCCGACGTCGACGCTTCAGCCGCCGTTCCAGCAGCGACGAAGAAGAGAAGCACCGATCGTAGACAGATTCTGAGTTGCCGCTTCGCGATGCAAAGCGGTGGTCACTGTGCTGTCGGTGACGGAGCCACGAAGCTACACTGGTTCTCGGTAAAATGTGCCGCTCGAATTCCCGACGTCAACATGTGACAACTGAGACTTTGAACTCGGATCATTGTAGCGGTAGAGTTTTTCTCTTGGCGTTGCCCCGCACCATTGGGAAGAGAGAGAACCGGAACGTCCGTCACCACAAGCATCAGCGAGCTCCGTGTAGATTACGAGAAACGCGACCGCCCGTCTAATGGCAAGCGACGACCGCCTCGGGAGCGCAAACGAAAATCGGAGGCGGAATGCCGGACGAGCTCCGAAATGCGAGAAGTAGGAAAGAAGACCGACGCGGGCTTATTCAGTTGTTGAAAACAGTTTAGAACAGTCTCGAGAACACCGTCGGACCGTCCATCGCTCCAACATGTCAGACGAAGCTCTGGGCTCGCCCATGGACGAGACGTCAGCGGACGCGCGTCGAGGTTCCGATGCAGGAATCGCGTCGGCTCCGGGGCGTCTTTCGTTGCCTGGTCTCCCACCGCGGGTGACTGCAGGTCGCAGGAGGGCTGTCAACACCCTCGACCATAAAGCATGCGCCCTGCTTCACTCTAAACTCAAAGGATTCCATCTCGAGGACGTCGCGTGAGTATTCATAATACGTTTTCTACGTTTCCCCTAGCCTCACTTGTTCCTAAGCTTGCGGTCTAGGCATGACGTGCGACGCTGGTTTGCCATGTCGTGCCATCATTTCTCGTGAAGTTTGCCTCCGTGGAGTAAGGGAACACATGGACATGTAGGCCGCGGCCGTCCCGGCCGTGAGGAAAAATAGATTTGACAACGAATAATTCCCCGTATTTTCCACCGTGGACGAAATGCGTTGGACTCACGAATGAAATAAATATATCGGAGTCCCAATTCTTCGCTTAGATGAATGACATAAGAAGTGCCCTCGATCCGCGCCGCAGGATCGTCAGAACTCCGAGGGGACACGACGGAGAACCTCGAAACGTTCAGCTGAGACGTTTACGGCGCACGTATCTCGGTCACGCGCTGCTCTTTCGACATATTCGACGACAAGTCCACTCTCTGCAAATAGAACCGCTCGCTTGGCTGACCCGAAAACGATGATGACCACCTTGAAGGTCGCTACGCCCAGGCTTACGGTCGGGCTCACGTCCATAAGTAGAGCGCGGGTACAGCCTGGTAAACGGTGCAACCGACGACGACCTATAAATGTATCGGAAGTATATTGTATGTGTATCTTGTACTGTCTGGGGGACCTGACGAAATCGTGAGACCCACCACATCATGAGACCGACCACATACTACGTTGACATCGTAATTACCGTGGCCGTACGATTTAAGCTCCGCTGAATCGGAGAAGTCGACCCCGATCGGTTCTCTGAACCTGTTGTTTTTCTTGAAAGCTGATCCTTTTCCATCGGTCCGGTATCAAGGGATTCCGTGCGTGAACGTCTTGCCTCACAGAGCGGTGACCGATCGATCGATTTCCCTTCTTTTGAGAATCCCGAAATTAGAGATTGTGCGCGGAAATGAAGCTTCGGGGCCGAAATGCTCCTCCGAAATATAACTCTCCACGATTCCATTTCGCAAAACGTCTCAGGACTTCGAGATCTCCCATCGACGCGATGTCGACTCTGCTCAGTAAACAAAAACGATTCGAGCACGTTATGCCCCCGATCCGACCACACTTGAGAGACTTCCCCATATCTCCCGGGTAAGAACGCACATACTTGTCGCGAAGCTCGGCTATCGATAGCTTTGGCTTAGTGCAAGTGGATGGAGAATATACCTACAAGAGAGGGTTCAAAGTGTTTCAACCGAAGGCTCACTGTCACAACTACTGGGAGAGGAGCACCCCTCGCACTCGCGACCCTCCCCTCTAGTACGTTCGAAAGGTGCAACACTCGTCGAAGCATACGGAGGGTTGTTCCAGACTTCCTCGCTTACAAGGAAGAACTCATCGGAGAGACTTTCCCGTCCCATACGGGTCGCTGTTTCTTCCTTGGTGTACTTTGCTGTTGTCACCCATGGCCGAGAGCCGGCCACCCCCAAATGGGAAGTCGGACTTCCTCCGTGGTCGTTCGCCGGCCGGAGCATCCGCCGCACCCGCTCCGTCTCAAGCGACGGCACAGGGCGCAGGGGAGAGTCATAGTGGGAAAATTCCGCTTTAAGGCTAGCTCGTTCCTGAGGGATCACGGTGGAAAATCTGAGCATGAGTCAGATCCGCACCCTTCGTGTATGATTTCTTCATTTCACGTGAATCAGAGAAAATACACTTTCGAACTCTTCGAAACTTTTCGGCAGTCAAGTCTCGAGCGAAATCGTTGCTGGACCCTCGAGTTGATTGAGGTCTGGACAGGGAATCAACCGATTCGAGATCGCGGATAGACATCCTGGAAAGATCCGGTCGACGTTGGAATGAGCACGTAATTAGCATCGGATCTGAATCTCTGATTTCCGGGCGCCCTTCGTTCCTTCTCGGGTGATCAGGCGACGTTTCCCGCGAGTTCGAGATACAGCCATCGAGACTCGACTTCGTCCGAGTATTGGCTTCGCGCCGAGCAGGGGAATCGTATTTGTCTCAGAGGCTTCTCTGCGCTGGCACTTCGAATGAAGATGAATCGGGCCAGATACAACATCCATCACACATCCATTCTACTCCGATTCCTTTTGTGGCAATTGAGAAGGACGCGGGTCCGCCGCGGAAGTCTGGGAGCTTCGAATCGCTCAAGTTGTCCTGAGCGATTCCGGAGGGCTCGACATCAGCGGAGTTATCCCTCGAGGATCTCTTCTCTGACGCCCGGTAGAAGAGATTAGCTCAGCAAACAAACGCTGATCTCCGATTCCACGTCGTTTCCATGATCTGCACCAGTTAGATTCCGGACATTTCAATAATTGATTTCACGGACACCATCACTTCGTCTAAGCCAATGCTTCTCAAACTGGGCTCCGCGGAACCCGCAGGGCTCCGTGAGCCCTCTGATGGCCTGCCGGAATTATTCAATTCCTCCCGAGTTCAACTTCTGTTTCGGGTTTCGAAGCATCCTCTGCACCCTCTCCGGTGGGAATCGATGGTTTTGCGGAGGTAAAAGAGCATGCATTGGATTAATTATAGCCCCTGCGGGGGCTCAGCGGGAAAAAAGTTTGAGGACCACTGGTCGATGCAGATGCCATGGGGAAAACCCCGTGGAAGCCCAGAAGATCGTCGCAGGGGGCCCGTCGAACATCCCCCCAAGATCGTCCTCGAGAGAACCTGTATCCCAATCGCTGACCGTGCAAGTTGAGCACGCGAGAAACGGATAAGCGCTTGGAGCTCGGCTCCGGAATTATTTGATCGGATACTATCTCTGAGTATGAGGGACCCGTAGCGTCTTGGCTCGACTCGGAAGCGATTTCTTGCTCGGAACGGCCTGAATTTATGTTCGACGACGCTCATATCGAATGCATGGACCTGCCGGGAAAAAAGTCCCGACGAATTCCCGGGAACCGTTGAGTGAATCGAGATGCTGCGGCAGACCGGAGAAAAGGCGCTGATGGCTCCATGCGGGTCGCGCGTTCAGCATCCCAGGGGCAATGCCTCTGGCGTTTGTTTCTGGGAAAGCGTGGCTCCCGGGACAACTCCGCTCAGCGGCTGATGTCACGAGCCAGATTCAACCGATGCGCTCCGAAAGCAGGCGGAGCTGACGCTTGAATATGATGAAATAGCGTGTCTGAGAAGTGAAAGGCGAAACCCGCTCGAGGAATGGGATCATTCAGTGGAATTCGAGCACCAGCTGAGGATTCTCGAATAAGAACTCTGAGGGAGAGAATAGGAGAAAAACGCGGAGTGATTTCGTATGACCGCTGCCCGAGCTGCTATCATGGCAACCCCCGGTCCCTCTCCTACTGAGTCATGTTCCGAGAATTCAAGCCTCGGAACCGATCTGGGAAGTTTTTCAGTAGGCCTCGTATTACAATAAGAGCTCGTTACTACGAACACGAAGGGATCGACGAAACTGGTTCGTTGTACCAAGTTTTCGCTGTATAGAATGCCGCTCAACACCATTCCTATGGCGAGCTGGCCAAAGGAGGAGAAATTCCTTGTTCGTTGTACGGAGAAATTCGCTGTAATGGGGGTCTTCATAACGAGATTTTACTGTAATTCTGAAAATCATAGGCGGCCTTCTCTCCTGTCTGCTCCGGAGTTCTTCACGATATGGAAGACCGGGGCTACCGAATCCGCTGATCACGATGCATCAGGGAAAGTTCGAGTTGTCGAAAATCTTCAAACACCGACTCGACTCCGGAGCTTCGTCAAAAGAGAATCGGAGACAGTGGACATTTTCCGGATCACCGAACTCAATCACCACGCGAGACCCCAGAACGGACTGAGTCGTGGCGAGGAAACGGAAGGAAAAATCCGATATATTGGAGCCCCGAGCGCCCCCGCTCACAGGAACATCGAGATTACCTCGATATAATAGTACATTCATCACGTATCAGAAGTATGAACTTTGAAGCTCTGCCGGATCTGTACGTAGGTACTTCCCGCTTTGAGTGATCTGGAAAATCGTCGTTGGTTCTATCCGGCTGAGTGGCCTTCGGCCTACGAAGGGCCAGCCTCAGGCAAAACAAAGTCCTGTGATACCCGTACGCCCAAATGTACGATCGTCTGAGCCGTACGTACGTCTGACCGACCGACCGACCGTCTGGCCCGCCATACATTCATTCGTGGTCCGTCCATCCGCTCCGATTCCAAGAACCGACCAAACACTGCTGCTGCCCCCTGGCGTACGTAAATTGCGACCGCATGAAGAAAACGGCGAACGGCGCCCCCCAGTGGGCACGTGGCGTCTCTCTGGCGGAGCCTGGGCGCTCTCGGAGTAAAGTCACTGCCGCATAGAGCGCAGCGCAGTGGATACTAGCTGAGGTCGCTGTTGGCTGGTTGGCGGCAGGCAGGAAGGAAGGCAGGCAGGCAGGCGAGCGAGCAACCGAAGTTACCGAGCAGGCGAGCGCCGAAACAAAAAAGCTCTTGGTTGTTCCCAAACACTGTTCAGCAAGTTGTGGACCCCTTAGGAAAATCGACGATTTCTGTGCACACTAACCAAGTGGGTCCTGTGGCCCTGCGGCTGCGCGGAGACCCCTTAACGAGAGACCACTGCAGTGTGATGCTTCGTGTGACTGACTGACCCTAAATGACTGGACCCTCGCAACGATGGCGTAATCACATCGCCTGGCAATAATCATCTGAGAAGGATCCGGGGCTCGGATGGCGCCGGGTTAGATTTTTAGTTTGTTGGACTCAGAGCCCGCGCTCCGTCGCTATCATCGACGTAGTCATCGTCGTCACCGTTGCGGTCGCCGTGGTTGTCGTCGTCGTCGTCGCCGACGTCGTTCGGGAGTTAGAGAGGGACGTACCGCGCAAAGCGACGCGAACCAACGCCCCGACGGAATCCCACCTACTCCTTACGCTCGAACGAACGACCCAACGACAAAGCGGACCATTGCACGTCAGAAACACCCTCGGACGACTTTGAGTGAATGAATGCGAGAGCGCGTGCGCCCAACCCCCCATCATACTCATCGTAGCCCCCCATAGAAGAAGCAATAATTTTCCAGTCTCCGGGATAAGAACGCAA